TAGGAGTACAAAGACGCAATTTCAAAGCTAGCTAGCCTCGTAAAACCTGGTGGGTGTCTKGTCATGCACGGAGCTCTTGAGCAATCCTTCTACAGAGTGGGCGAGTATGATTTCTATTCCTACAAGTTGAACAAGACATTGATTGAAGACAGYCTTAAMAGTGCCGGGATTAATAACGTTGWATTTGACGTTCTTCCCATCCTGGAAAARTTYASYACTTTTGATGCAGACGGTGAATTTTTTGTGTATGGAGAAAAAGAGTGATTCATGGTGCATCATGAACCCTACTAGAAAGTCGTTTCATTCGGAAGAGAACAYGCTGCTAAGCACTTCTTCAAAGGGAAAAAACTTTCAGATTTATATCTTCTGGGATTTAGAAAAATTTGAAAATCGGAAATGCAATTTAAGTGACGTCTACTAAGGAATGATTTAATATGCAAAATCACGAAAAAAATACATTACTCTTTTTTTTATTTTGGAGATGACACTATTTTCAGTTCTTGAATTTCACTGTTATTGATGATTTGACCATTTCAACCGAACACAAGATATCGCAAACAATGAAAAACCTCCAGCCCAATTCCTTGATTGACGTCACTTCATTAGCATTTCCGTTTTCAAATATTTCTAAATCAAAAGATATAAATTCGAAAGTTTTTTCCCTTTGCAGAAGTGCTTAGCAGTATGTTATCTTTCAAATGAAATGACTTTCTAGCAGGGTTCAGTTGCACTTTAAAGGTTCATGATCAACCGGCATCCATTGCGGACTTTTCTTTACGTTTGGAAATTAAAACATAATAAACACTTACTCTTTATTACTCAATTGATGTAAATGGAGTACAGTTAAAACATTATTATGAGCCTGGAAATAGAACTTATTTGTCTGGTATTCATGGATGTTATGTGTAACATTATAGAATAAAATCGAATAAAATTGAATTTCTAAAGTAATCGCACATTACAGTTTTTGTGCAAGAATGTTATTTCGGGAGTAAACAGATATTTCGTTGTAAAAATAAGACTTTTTTTTATAAAAATAGTGCAAGACCCTTTATTTGGGGGGAGGGGTGTGGGGAGGATAGAAATTAGGCATATCATTATATCTTGTAGCCTCCTTCGCAGGCTACTCCATCGGRAACGGRCATTTTTCTCTTCTTGGTCTWMCTGTGTTCATATTCTTGACCGAGAAGAACTGGTGTCGARAAATTAGGTCCTCCTGCTTTTCCTTCCTTCCTAGCCCCTCCCCCTCCAGCAGCTTTTTTGCCATAACACAGGAATC